GCAGACTCCCAGTATTACTATAATTCAGTTTTTTGTACCTGTGTGATTTGTCTAGCGATAGATGGAATAAAACTGTGGCCACCAAATTCTGGTTAATTTTATTACATTAACAAGAACAAATTTACTTCCTTACCATTTCCCCTTATTTTTTCCCCCTTAACACTACTGTTCCTTTTAGGATTAGGACTTTTTCCTTCACTCCTGTGAAACATTGGGCATACTGCATCTGTTTCAGCTCTCAGAACATTTATAATGAGAAAAACCTAAATGAGGTATGGGATTAATTCAAACCCTTGCCTTAAAGAGTTACACTTACAGGTGAATAATATCCCTTGATGCTGAAATCACTTGTTAGCTGAGTAGCTATTGTGTTATGCCTCCATACTGTGCTTCACCCCTAAACTACAAGGAATACCTTTAGGAAAAAGCACTTTGCTTTACTAACTGGCTCATCTCAACCCCTCTGTCAGCTGTGATGGTTTATGGGGTGGTTACCAGTCTAATACAGACCCGACTGATTTCATCACCCTTCCCCTTCACAATCCAAGTTTCTTAAGATACTCCTGTCCTACATTTTGAAATGCTCTGTTCCATCACTGCTGCCCTGCCTTTCATTACCAGTGTTGTCCTGCTTCTTGTCAATAAAATGCCCCTGAAGGCTAAGTTATCACAGGCTGGCTTTCTTGCACAATTCCCAGCCTGTTTCCAATGGAAATAACATAGCAGCAGAGGTACTGCATGCCCAGAAGCAGCACTGGCTTGTCTAAAGCTTAACTTGCTTCTGGGAAAGACCTGTTATAAATATGTAATACGTATTGCTCAAAATAGCTTAGTCTTTAATCCAGCAAAATGAATTTCCCCCCGTGGTGCCCCTCAAAAGAGACTTCCTTACAGTTTCTGCAGCACACTGACTCATGCGATTAGCATGTGTGCTAGGAAATGCCATATAATTTAGATAACAAAGCCCAGATAGTGTCATCTCACAAGATCTTTTTAGCTACCTCAGCCTTGGAGCAGTTCGTTAGGTAATAGAGGTGGAATCTTTTCAAGTTGCACAACTGTTTGTTTTTTTTTTAAAACAAACAACTAACTAGGGCACCTTTTCTCTGCCCTTTTATGATACAAGGCATGCCAGCATGGCTAGCTAACTCTCATCAGAAGGAAGCAGCCTTTCTGTACCAGTTGAAAGTGTGTCTGACTGAATCTGACAGGTGATATTCTAATCGATTGTAAATCAAATGGTGTGGAAATACATTCATTTACTCTGACTGGTTCTCTCTGAAATACTTCAGTCCTACTTCATAATGACTAAGCATTTGGGGTTATAAGGTACAGTTAGCCAATGCACACCTTCTGTTCTTGCACTAAGAAAGTTTGATGCTGTTCTCTTAAGGGTGGCAAAGAACATTCTCCCTCTGTTAATGGTGCAGAAAGGCCCTAGAAAAAAATTTAAGATTCACAACTTAATGTAGCCTTAAGATATGACACAGCAGGGCAGCTGAAGTCGCAGCTGATGCTATGAAATTTGACAGACTTCCAGTCCATTGGGCAAACTGCTTACTGTTCAGCTTCCAAAGCAGAGTGAAGCAAATAAAGAACGTTTATCTGCATCACTCACGTTTGAGTCAGGTTTTGTTAAAGCCATTGCTGACATAAGCACTTGCAGTAACTCAAGTTTCTCCTGTTTCAGTGGTCTGTACAAGCCAATGGTGCCCTCATGTGGCCAACAACCATCTCATCCACGTATAACTGAGCTATGGGCTTGTGGACTGCCTACACATTCCTCACACAATTACTGGGGCAGGCAAGCCAGGAATAGACCTGGCTCTATGCGAATGCCAAGAACAGAGCAAATACTCTAGTTAGAAAAATGTCAGAATCACTCAGGGGGAGGGAGGGAGCAATGGCAATAAATGCTTTGCAAATATATAATCCTTATATTTTCATTCCAGCTGGAGGAGGTGGTATCCATGTCTAGAGCAGGCTTAGGTTCTAGTTCAAGGCTAAGGTTTAATAGCAGTGAAACTGAATAGGATGTTTTTGCATCTGAACTTCAGGGTGAGCCTGTTCTGATTTTGTATCCAACTTGGAAAAAAGTAAGCAAGCCAGGTTTGCCTGAGGGGGATTTGACTTAGAACTTCCACCAGTTCAAAGAATCTTTTAACTTTTAATAACACAAACCTGCAAACAGAAGGGATTACCTCTGGTTTAATGATTTTTGTATTATGATAGCACCTCGAGGCCCCATCCAAGACTGGGCCCCTGTTGTTGCACATACATGTAATAAGAGACGTATCTGCCCAATAGAGCTTACAATCTAAGCGAGTAAGACGAAAGGTGGGAGAACATCATAATTCTCTCCATTTTAGAACTGAGAAACTAAAACCCAGAGAGATTCTGTGATTTGTCTACGGTTGCAGGGAATCTGCAGCAGAGGTGAGAACTAAACCAAGAACTACAAACCCATCTTTCATCTTTAGGGCTTTGTTTTTCTTTTAATAAAACGTCAAGCTCAACTTACTTAGGCTTTGAGTTCTAGCATTTCTCTGTACTTCATGGCAAAAATGACATACAAAACAGAGTAGCTTACGCACCAGGCAGGGGTGGCAACTAAACAGCATGAACCAGTGTGCTGCTGGTCCGCTGCCTTTCATTCTAAGTAGGATATTTCATAGGTATCTGGAACTAGAGAGAAGCAGCTTCATTGCTCACAGGTAGGAATCAGGAAGTAAGTGGTCTAGCCATTGCTTGCCTTGGAGCTATACTTGGTATGATTTACTTATGTTCAAACATTAGGGTTTTAAATGCTGCAGAGTATAAACCCACAGTATAGAAAATTGTATATAGAACTGGAGCCCTGCTCCTGCTTTTTGACAGGTTCCCAAATACAAGAACACTTGAGAGGCTGCCACCCTGCCCCCGTGCTCGGCTGTTACCAGTACAAGCGCTCAGTTGATTTGGTATTGGAAAATTAAACAAAAACCAGGGCTTGCTGGGAAGGCATCCTCCTGATGGGCCATTAACTTGCGACCCTATTCCCTGATGGCTCCAAAACATTCTGACTGTGTGGACTTTTAGGGCATGATGCAAGGCTTTCAGGAAGCAGCAGTAAGTTAAGGTGTTAAGGCTGGAAGGGAAGGAGCTATGGTTAGCAGTTTTCTGGCTTGGGGATTGCAGCAGAAGCAGCGGGTTCTGCTTTAGTTTGTTTTATGGGAGATTAACTTCAAGTTGAAGGAAGCATGTGGCTGATTTGCCCACTTCCTTTGCAGGTAACAGGCAGAAGAGCCTTATGTCAGCATAAGACCGAGGGCTCAAGAATAGAAACAAACTGAGGCCCACAAACTGCACTTTACATTTCAAGCACACCAAAGCAAGCTTTTCTATTTTAATGTAAACTTTAGTATAATGACCATTTTCATACTTACTCAAATGCTTTTGAAGTCACCACTCATCTTATTTTCAGAACTTTTGCCATCTAGCT